TAGGTTCTGTTCGACGAGAGCAGTAGGGGACGAGTGGGTAAATCTTCAAAACAAACTTTGTCTAAAATATAGGTTAATATCACACGAGGCTTTTATAGTGACACTCACCATTGAACTATTCATATCAATTAATAGATTTTGTTTTAAGGTATTTGACACGCAATCATTACTACTGGAAGGAGAGAGGTGTTCCAGGTCCGCGGCCATGGCCTTTTTTTGGCACCTATCTTGGGCAATTCTTTACACCGTTTCTTGAAAGCGAAATGCAATGGTACAATGAATATGGAAAAATTTATGGGTGAGTTCCGGACAATAATTTTTTGCATAATTATCTTAATTCTTTCTTTCATATTATTTCAGTATCTACGATGGGTCAAAACCCGGTAAGTCCATGAAGTGTAATCAATAGCCTTTTTCATATGCACAGTGGTTGTCGTTTTTAGGCTTAATCGTTGGCGATCCCGAATTGATTAAACAAATAATGGTAAAAGATTTTAGTATCTTCACAAATCGGCGCCCAGTCAAAACCACTCATCCGATCATGAGCAAGTTCCTTTCTTCGCTGATCGGTGAAGAATGGAAACGTGTTCGCTCTATAGTCACACCCACATTCACTAGCAGCAAAATGAAAAAACTGTTCTATATTATGAAAAATTCATCAAATGATATGCTAGCAAAATTGGAACAAACGGCGATGACAAAGAACGGCGAGATCGATCTGAAAAAACTGTATGGTGCGTATACAATGGATGTCATTGCCCGAACCGCGTTCGCCGCAAAGTCTGATTCGACTTTCGACAAGAATGCAACAGAATTGTTTACATTTCCATTTTGGCGAAAATTTCTCGATTACACTGTGCCCATGCAAATTCTGGAATTTTTCAAATTCACTGTTTTACCGCCGAGTGCCATGGACTTTTTTCGATCTATCACTGTCAGTCTCATTCAACAGCGTATGGAAAGCACCGAACATCATGGTGAGCAGCATCATGATTTTCTTGAACTGCTGATGAATGCAAGAAAACTGGGCTCAGAAGAAATATCAAGATCTGTCAAAGACATCGATGATGCATCATTTAAGAAGCAGACCGAAGATGAGCGAATACAGAATCAGAATGCCCTAAAAGACACAACAGGATACGGTGGACGCAAGAAACTCGACGAAAATGAAATACTTGCACAAAGTGTTTTGTTCTTTTCTGTCGGTTTCGAAACGGCGTCGCAGCTATTAACATATTGCACCTACTGTTTAGCACTCAATCCCGACTGTCAGAATAAGTTATACGATGAAATTCAGCAAAGTATCAACGACAATCTTGGTGAAGTTGACTACGATCTCGTATCAAAAATGGCCTATCTGGATGCAGTCGTATCTGAAACGCTTCGTCTCTATAATCCAGTGTTACGCATGGAACGACAGGCATCCGAAGATTACACTTTAGGCAGTACGGGCATTGTCATAGAGAAAGGAATGATTGTTGGTATTCCCGTCTGGGCACTTCATCATGATCCACAGTATTATCCGGAGCCCTATGACTTCAAACCAGAGCGTTTTTCAACAGAAAATCGAGAACGAATTATACCCTATACCTATTTACCGTTCGGAGCTGGACCGAGAAATTGTATTGGGACACGCTTTGCTCTGCTAGAAACAAAGATTGCTCTCATTAAAGTTGTCTCCAAATATCGCTTTGTGAAATCAAACACAACACGAATTCCACTCAAATTTTTGCCTGTCGGTCGGCCACTACTACGGTGTGAACACGTGGCTGTTGGAGTGGAAAACCGATCTTAGTTTATTACTCTATTTGATTCGATAGTTCTTTTTGTTATTATTTCTCTTAACAGTTTCTTCATTCAATAAACTAGAACAATCATACAAAAGTTTTAACCAAACAAAAATAAGCCCAAATATTGTTGTTCTAACTGCTTTATTCATTTGATTTTCCGTTTTTCATTCTAAGATCTATGATAATTTACTTACTCTCTCATTTTTGTCACCTGATACAACAAACTAAGTAGTCATTTCAAAAGCTAGTAAGTTTGGCTGTCGCATGTACCATTCAAAGAAGATTTATTGTCAAAATTCAGATTATGAAAGCTTTTATTGATCTTTTCATGTGTAATGAGATTTTATGAATGGAGAGAAATGAATGAAGGAATCACTATCTTAACAAATTTCTGAAAATTGATTACTCTGCTTTGTTAATTATTGTTCCTTTGATATGACGCCCGCCTAAGTATCCGTCATCCGCATCGATTAATATTCATGATCGCTTTTACAAATGTTTATATTCGATAGACGATTTTAAGAAACGGCAAAGCTTGAGTAAAGCGATAGACGATATATTCAGGAGAATCAGAGACGGCACCTTGGACAGAATGATGATCACGGGGTGCGGAACGCAAAGCACTATTGACATCATTCATAATCATATCTTGATCTAGAGCTACCTTACAATAGAACATAATGCGTGTGCTAGTGCCATCAATGGGTAGTGTATGCTCATGCGACTTGAGTGGATTATCAGCAAAATAAGCACCAACACCTATAATGAGACCGCCTAAGTAGATATATTTTATTAGTAACTCGAGAGCTTACCGACTTGACCATGAATCTTAAAAAAACCATAGTCGTAGCCTTCTTCCATGATTATATGAGCTTTGCTTGTGTGGGTACCGTGATATAAAAATCGTTCATTTGGATTATTACCAGGACATTGATCTGCCACCAATTTTTCCACTAACTGGTAAACATTTTCCAAGACCGGATTGTGAATTTCTTCTATGCTTATAATTTTAATACCGATTATCGCTTGCATTTCATCTTCAATTCTTTTGTATAAGTCTGAGGTTGGCAAAAGTTGATTCACAATAAACTTATGCATAACTTGTTGCGGTGTATTGATGAGCGATGTACCTTTCTGTACCCATCCACGCATTTTCATCTTATCGATGCGGCTCGTAATGAGCTTATTGATCGACGGTATAACCTGAAACTGCTTACGTTGTATGTTGTCTATGATTTGTATGGGATCAATTGAGCTTGACAGCTGCTTCAAATCCATACGTTGGCTGAGTTCTTTGCATTGGTCACGTTTTAGACAGAGATTATTAACGTCAAAATCGGGTATACAAAATTCAATCTGACTATATGGTTCTATAAATTCTACTATTAAAGGACCACTAGGTTGGTCTTCATCGAACAGTAATTTATAAGAACGACGAGAGCGGTGCAACCGTGGCTTTAGATCGAATTTGTTGACTTCGTCGCAAAATCTTTCGATGTCAAAATAACGAATTAAAGACTTTTTGCAGTCGAGATCGGAAGGTACTATCGACTTATGAAGAGAGGGTATTCCTTTGTCACGATTATATATAATCTATTCCAAGGTTGGAACGGTGGGCGAAGGTTGAGCTCGCTCATTGGTCACGATCCAGTCACGAACAAAGCCACCCTCTAGACTACAATCGAATTTGCAAACCGCCGCCCATGCTGTGACTTCCATACGAGACTCTCGTGTAGCCATCGGACCATTTACACTCGATCATAGATCAGCTGCAGTCAGTGTGCTACCTGTAACACGAGCAATACGGTCTTTTATTGCTCTAGGCAGTAAATCCGAATGTGAGTCTACAAGTCGATGTGATGTAACTGACATAATGTCCATTTTTCTCCTAAACAATATATGAGAAGCTAAAACATGAAAAATACTTGGGATAAATTTTCTACTAGTTCCTAATTTTATATGAAGGATAGAACTTCTGAAGAATTTTTCACTTAAAAAAAGTTGTCAAAATGGAACTAGACTGTAAAAACAAAACGTAAAATAAGTAAGGTAGCAGCGCGCGGTACTAGAAGTAAAAGGTGAGACCAATGCAGTTAATATTTTTCCATCTTACTCAATTTATAGGTAACTTTGTGTTTATTGGAATATTACTTGCAATTCAATCATCGGTGGAACTCTCATATTTTATCACGCTTGGGATTTTTTCGTTTCTTTTCGAGGATTAGTTGATTGAATCTTTCTTTTCGTTCTATTTGTTTAAGATGACGGTTAAGCAAATATGTTGGTTGGTAAAAAAAAGAAATATGAATTTCGTCTTTGGCATGAAAGTGCGTATGCTTTTGCTGTTAGTTGATTGTTGGTCGCTGCTATTGAACGTATTCGTTTGTTTGACCATTTGCCAGTGTTAATCTCTGGATAATGTTGTGGATGAAGAATATAAAGGGTGTGGGTGTGGGTGTGAGGTGTGGTGTGTGGCTGTGGGTGTTGGTGTGGGTTGGTGGGTGTGGGTGTGGGTGTTGGTGTGGAGTGGGTGTGGATGTGGGGTGGGTGTGGATGATGAGGAAGACAAGACGCGCACACCCACAGCTATACTGAAAGCTACACCCACACCGACACTTACACCTACACCCACACTCACACTCACACCCACATCCACACCCACACTCCCACACCCTCTGTTACAAATTTTTTCATATTCTACGCGATAATACAGACTCGACGGAGTCAAGACTTTCTCCGAATATGCCAATCATTAGACAGCTTATGGCTATGGTTGCTCAGAAATTTTTACGCACATCAGTGTGTGATATAGAATATGACTAAAATTGTTTGCATACTTAATAACAATAATAACAACTGAGAGTGTTTGCTTTGCCTCTTGAAAAATATAATCTTTGTCATCGTGCATGTTATCAAACCGAGCACAAACAAACCGTTATATTTAAAAGAGAAAAGAAAAAGGAAAGGCCATACGCATTATAATGTATGTGGTTGGTGTTGATGTTGGTGGTACAAACACAGGTGAATTTTTTGATTTTTTTATGTAGATTTTTTCTAAAAAATTTGTATAGATGCGGTCTTACTGCGAATCGAGTCCGATCAAGGTAAGTTTTTTTCCTGTTGTCGTTATTAGCTATGCATTTGTTGAAAATAGCACCGAAAGTGGTGGCTACATCCAAAACGGTGACAAGTTCGGATGTCTTTTCCGGCATGCTTCATGCAGTGCAACAAGTTATCAACGATACTGACGTCACAGCTATTATGATGGGTACAACACATTTTATTAATGCCTTACTTCAGCGACGAGGATTGGCGAAAGTATGCATAATACGTCTCTGTGGACCAGCAACGTATGCTATCCCACCTATGGCTAATTGGCCACAAGATTTAAAAGATACAGTATAAAAGACAACATTTCAATTTTATTTTGAAGATGTTTTTTTATGTTGATTATTTAGGTAGATGGTTTAACAGCTTTTGTCTCTGGAGGTTATTTTTTCGATGGATCTGAAATTAGTCCATTGGATGAAGAAGAAATTCGCTCGACAGTTCGTCGTGCTCTTGCTTTGAATATTTGTACGTTTTGCGTCTGTGGAGTCTTCTCACCATGTCGAATAGATCAAGAAGAACGTGTAGGTGAGATTATTCGTGAAGAATCAGCTATTGCATACATCACTCTTTCGCATGAAATTGCGGGTCTTGGCTTATCTGAACGTGAAAATGCTTCGATACTCAATGCTTGTCTTCGTCCATTGGCTACACGAACAATTGGAGCATTGCAAGATGCTCTTCCTTCAGGTGTTCCTTTCTTTCTTACGAAAAATACAGGCACATTGTTATCCGCAGAAGATTCCACTCGTTGGCCTGTTTTTACCTTTGCCAGTGGTCCAATCAATTCCATGATCGGTGCTGCATATCTTAGTGGTATCAATAATGGAATTGTCATCGATATCGGAGGAACATCGTTTGACATTGGAGTTATTGCAGATGGAAGACCGAGACAAACACATGCAGTAAGTTCCTTATGTTCATTTTCATTTTCATTTTCCATTAATCATATATTAAAGAATATGAGATTGATCGATGATATTCTAGTAAACGTCACTGTGCCTGATACTCTTTCTCTACCATTGGGTGGTGGTACAGTAATACACATTAATGAGAAAGATGAATATATACAAGTCGGACCAGATAGTGTGGGTTATCGACTCGAGCAAGAAGCATTAGCTTTTGGTGGTCAAACGGTCACTGGTACTGATATTGCTTTAGCTGCTGGATTAGCTACAGGAGTAAGTTATGCTTTTAACCCTTTGGAGACGGAATTATTTTTCAATTGAAAAATGGTTCTTTCGTCAATTTATTGTATGTGACTCAAAATGATTACATAAAAGCCTTATGACAAATACATCAAGATAAGAAAGAAAGTGCTCATGGCGTCAGTGTATAGAGCAGAAAGAAAAGAGAAGATCTGAGAAGCATCTATATGACAGGAAGAAAGAGAGGAAAGATACGCATGGGATAGTAGTTGGACCAACCTATTACCTTACAGATGATCATAGTTTTATGAGAAACAAACATTTTCCTTACTGAAAAATAGGTGGTACAAGGGTTGTACCACCGTCCCCAAAGGGTTTAAAGTATCCTTCAATCTGTTTTGAACTTAGATTGGTCATTGTCCTGTCAAACTTTCTGCATCGATTGTTGAACAAGTACTTGATTATATGAAACAAACAATGATACGAAGTATCGATCGTATGAAAACGAATTCAGAACCAGTTTCTGTTATCTTATGTGGTGGAGGATCAATTCTGATTGATATTAATCAATCATTTCCGGGTGTTACAAAGGTAATTTGTTTTTGATATGTTACACAAAAAATGACTTTACTCTTTTTTTTAAAGATGATACGTCCAGATCATTTTGCTGTTTGTAATGCCGTTGGTGCTGCTCTTTGTTCAGTGAGTGCGACTATCGACTCAATAGTCGATCTACTTCCATCATCTGTAGATGGTGGTGAACAACGCAAACGTGAACTCGATCGTTTAATTCTTCAAGCTCATGAGCGATGTAAACAAAATGGAGCTCGTTCAGACACAATTCATTTGACAGACATGGAACAAGTACCTTTAGCTTATCATCCTGGTGGACATAAACATCGGGTTCAAATAACAGCCATTGGACAACTTGATCTAAATAAATTCGGAAGAAATGAACAAGAGAAACGCGGTCAAAAATCGAATTTGGAAATAAAAAAGGAAACAGGGATAGATATAAAACCACCCATTCATATTGACTTAACAAAGAAACAACCTATATTTGATGAAAATGGAGTTTGGTGTATTGATGCGATCGATATTGAATACATTGCCTATGGAACAGGAATTCTTGGTAGGCATTTAGCTTTTATTTTATTGTAGAAACAACTTAAACTATATTACAGGTACTGGTGGTGGTGGTGAATCATATCATTGCAAACTTTGGTGTCTTGAAGTTCTTCGAGAAGGCAAATACAAGATGCGCGTCGTACCTCCTTCTTTCTTTTCTTCTGCTTCGAACTTGATAGCCGATGTTGGTTTTATGGGTGCACCTACTGTTTCTCATGAATTGTTATCAAATGGACGTGAATGTTTAGAAGCTGTCAATGCTATTGAAAAGTATCTGTCGAAAAAAATCGATGCTGTCTATACTGGAGAAATCGGTGGTTCCAATGGTCTTATGGGTCTACTCGTAGCAGCAAGAAAACAAGTGCCTTGTATCGATTGTGATGGATTAGGCAGAGCATTTCCCTGTCTAGACCATAGTTTATGTTTTATTCACGGTCTTCCTCCAACACCTGCTTGTTTATGTGACATTCGAGGTGAAACAGTCATGTGTACTAATGACATAGTTTCTACTGCAAAAGAATTAGAAGATATATTTAGAAAAGAGTGTACTGCACGAGGTCTTTTTACTGGAGTTTGTCTGCCTCCATTAACTGGTGAACAATTACAAAAACATACGTTACTTCATAGTCTTTCTCGAGCATGGTTTCTCGGTGAGTGTTAAATGTATTTTTCTTTATTTAATATGAATTTTTGAATAAGGTGAAGCTAAATTCAACCATCGTAACGATGCTATTCAAGCTGTGGCTCATGCTGGTCATGGTCGTGTACTTGTTTCTGATGGCAAAGTGATCAATGTCGAACGAAATACAACTGGTGGCTTTGCTCGAGGTCATGTTTCTATTGAAACAGCAGGAAGAATTTTGATTATAGAATTTCAAAATGAAAATCTTGTGGCTCGTTTTGATGATGGAGAAATTATAGCAAGTGTTCCAGATTTAATCACACTTGTTGAACAGGATTCTGCTGAACCACTTGCGACTGAAATCATCAAATATGGTTATCGTGTTTCCGTACTTGTTCTTCCGACACCTGAACCATTAACGACACCGCTTGCTCTTCAACATCTCGGTTTAAAAGCGTTTGGTTATGATTTTCCTCATTACGAATATATACCATCTCATACACCAATCAAATCTGTTTGGGATGTTTTCTATAATAAACAGACTCATTCTCAGCAGTAACCAGATCCTATTACTAAACCAATCGTCTTGATGTTTGAGGGTGGGTGTGGGTGTGGGTGTGGGGTGGAGTGTGGGTGTGGGTGTGTGGGTATGGGGTGTAGGTGTTGGTGTGGGTGTGAGTGTGGATGTGGGTGTGGGTGTGGATGTGTGTGTGGGTGACGGTGTGTATCTTCTCTTCACTACATCCACACCCACACCTCACACCCACACCGACTCACCCACACCCACGCCCCCACTCCCACCCACCCGACATCCCACACCTACACCCTGTTTTAGCAAAAAAAATCAATATTTTAGAACAAAGTTTTTTTCAGCAAAAATTGATCTTCAGTTATTTTATGATCGATATCTCATCTATAGTTGCAGTAATGATTACCAAAATTTCACTACACATACAACAAAAGATTCTCAAC